ACCTGGTATCTCGATTTCTCTACATGGGCAACAATGAAGTCTCGACCCCTTCCCCTTGGCAGACCTTCCACCCTGCAACAAGTATTGGACGGCTCCAGGGTCCAGCCAAGGGCCCCCAGAGGCCTGAAAGAGGGTGGACAAATCTGCGGCATTGAATAATTCAACACGTTGGAGGTCAAAGGGAGGAAGGGAAGGGACGGTGGTGGGAGGTGAGGTCTAAGGGCAGGGGCAGAGGGAGGGTGGCTCTGTGTCCGCTGTCTACGGCCACCCAGTACTGCGCCGCGAGTCCGAGCAACGTGGCGCGCACGGCTCGAATGCTGACGGCCGCTCGTCGGTCAACGGACCGGGCCAGGGTGCAGCCGAAGGAAGACGTGCTCGCCACCACCGGGCTCTGCAGGCTCCTAGACGTTGGGCACGCGCAGGCTCGGTCGTGGTGGCATGCCCCGCTCTTCCGGGAAGCTGCCTGCCACGCGCACGGAGCGTTCGTGCCGTGTCAGAATGGGCAGGAGGGAGCGAGGCGTCGAATGCGGCAGGAAGAAAAAGAGCATGGCGACAGGAGCTTCGAAAACGATGGCGCGCTCCCGCGCCGCTGCCGCACCCCCTACCCCTCACGAGCGGAAAAGCAACTATCCACATCCATGCCCTCGCGGCCCAGACTCCGAGGTGCGATCCCGTGGATACGCGGTCGCTTGGATACGTTACGCGCGGAACGCCTGCACAAAACGCCACGTATCCACAGGTCGCGGCCCAGAAGCCCGGCAGGCGAAGCTGCCTGGACCCGCCCGGAACGGAAAACCGGCCATCCCCCGAGGTCGACGGCTAAGCAGCACCGCCAGGGAGAGAGGACCGTGGCGTCCCGGGGAGAAAAGGCCACGCATCTCTGGGGAAGGCAACCAGCCTCGAACTGATCCCCATCCATAGGATTGGCAAGCCCGAGGCCATGACAGCCTTCGCACTGTGCCCTCCCAGAGTCAGAGAAACCATCAGATCGGCACCGCGGCAAAGCGATGCCAAACGCAAGGATCAGGGTCTGTCTCGGGCTGGCAAAGGAGAGCGAACCGTGCGGCCGCCCGGGGCGCGCGAACCGCACGTGAGACCCCCTGGACGGATCTGCTCGCCACCCGGAGACCCGCAGGAGGCCTCTCCTGCTGGAGAGGCGGCGCTCAGAGGATCCCTCCTCCCTCCTTCCTCCTCCTCCTCCTCCTCCTCCTCCTCCTCCTCCTCCTCCTCCTCCTCCTCCTCCTCCTCCTCCTCATCCCTCTCCTCCCCCACCCCTCCTCCTCCCCCTCCTCCTTCTGGGGGGGACCGGCTCAGGGGGGGGGCTGAGATGTCGCCCTGGAACCGGAGATGCATCGCCGCCAGATCGCCGATAGGCCCCAGACTGCGAACCCGCACGGTCCTGGGCGCGTTGGGTTATCGGGCCTCCTATCGGCGACCCATGGGCGATTGGAGGTCGCTGCGTCTCCCCCTGACCCGATCCCCCCTTGAAGTTGCCCTTGACTTGCCCATGGCGTCACATTTGTGAGCGCCGGCGGAGCTATGGCAGAATGCGTTGGTAGCTACAGACACGCTCCTATGGCATGCGAGGGCGGGTGTTTTGAACCATACCTGGCTCAGATGCGCCACCGCGGTTGCAGCGTTTGATGAGCCTCGGTGAACTTTTCCCCGTTCCCTTCACTCCTTGTGGGGCAATCGTGAGCCCCCCCCGCCACGTCGAGCACTAGGCTCGTCTTCGTATCCTGCTGCTCGGCATGCACCCTGCCTTCGTATTGTTTTACCTTCCAGGCAAAAGGAAATGGCAACATCAGAGATGGAAGTGAAACGTTCCGATGCACCTTATTCCCCCCCCCGCTGGCGCGCCCCGACCGCCGCCGCAAGGCCGACCGCGGCGGTGCCACTGCGCCACTGGACATTCCAACTAACGACGTGCTACATCAGCCCATGGCACCGCACACCGTATGCATAGCAAACTACTTTGCACGACCACATGGCCAGCTGCGACAGCAGAACCTACTGCAACATGTGACAACACACGAAATCGCTTCAAGTCGCTCTACAAGCGCCGTGCACTGTGATCGGCAATGCTGTGCCACGCTTATGACGTGAAATCTCAGCATGGTTGGTAGACCTGCCCGCTTGGCAATGACAACTCCATCGGCGCGCCGTAAAACCATTGGAAATAAGACGACCGAGAACTCAACCGTCAAAACACGTAATTTAACCGCTTCGAGATAAACTTCACGCACCCGCCCAGGGACCGTCTTGAGCCGTCTAGAACCCTTCGCGGAGCGCCTCGGGAGAGGGGTGGGTCATCTAGAAACAACCGCAGGCGTCTAGAAGTGGATTCCCAGCGGGACACACAACGACGCCGTGCGAGCATCGGGCCGCATCGGATCACCCGAATATCGGATTCGAATCGGATCGCCGATATCGAATCGGATCGATCGGATCAATCTGCACCCCGAAGTGGCAGGGAGGTGGCCTTCCAAGCAAGCAGGGGAAGTCCGGCGGTAACTCACGGGTGCCTCCCATGCCATCTTGTTGGCTCATGCGACTCGACGCACATCTACGCTAATCGGCGCGAGTTCGACGATATCCCTTCGACTACCCGACACTAACCGACGCAAGTGCACTCGGAAGCTGAAGCCAAGAAGAGCATATGCAAGGTTCCACTAAGTTGCTACCGAAGGAAAGGAGGTCTTGGCAAGTCTCAAGGGCTCTGGGAGGGCCCGCCAGGAGGCGGGAGGACTTCCGACAGACCCCACACCCGCTTTGGAGATAGCCCCTTCGCCCCGCCGCCTTTTACGCGCCGCCAGGCGGAAGAGGAGGAGATGGGAAGGAGCAGAAGGACACGATAGGAAACAGCAGGAAGAATAATATAGACTCGCGTCAGGACGAGTCGCAGTATCAACTGCCAAGTGAAGGCGAAGGGAGTAGGAAGAAGTACGTCAGCTCACCGTATATGCTCGGGGCTTAGCTTGGCGTGGAGCTCTGAATCGTCGTCGCCGCCGTCGTCGAGCATCCGAGGTTCGAGGATCGACGATGTCGGGGTCCTCGTCCACCTGTGGGGCGTCTTCTGTCCTGTCAGGGGCGCCTCTGGGGCACCGTGGAGGGTGTTGGGGCCACACTGGGGCACAAGACACGAAGCCGTGTGTGGAGGGCTCTCAGGCCGCTTGGGGGGCGTCTCGGGGCCTCGTTGGGGCTCTCCTGGGGAGGCGCCTTGGGGCGTCTTTGAGCGATGCTACAAACCCCCTGAGACCGCCAGCCCCAAGGTTGTTCTCTGCCGTCCTCGAGAGCTTCGAGCGTCCGTGGGCTCCCTGGGGGGTGTCTGTGGGCCTCCGGTGGGCCCCCATGAGGGTAAGGCCTGCAGGGGCCTTCCTGGGCCGTCTCGGGCCTTCTTGGGGCCCTCTTGGGCTGTTCCTCGGGCTCTCTTGGGGGCTTCTTGGGCTATAATTAAATCGGGCCTGTCCCCCTACAGGGGGATTTTGGGCGAAACATGCAAAAATACCCAAAACATACTCCCAAAATACTCCAAGATATCACAAAAATCGTCCCCAGACTATCTTTTAAACTATTTTTGAAGATCCCCCCTGTAGAGGGGCAGGCCCGACTTAAGGCTATGTTGGAGCGGTCTGGGCGGCGTCTGGGGTGTCTGGGGGCTCCTTTGGGCGCTCCTGAGGGCTTGCAGGGGCCTACTGGCCCGTCTTGGGCCTTCCGGGGGCCCTCTTGGGCCGTCTTCGGGCTCTCTTGGGGGCGTCGTGGTCTGTTTGGGGGCGGTCTCGGCGGCGTCTGGCGTCGTGGTGCACGCTGGGGCAGCCCGCCACTTGTAGATGCTGAAGATGAAAGTTTTTCCACGAGGATGATAGGATTTCAGCCTCTAGGGGCCCCTTGGGGGGCCATCCTTCTGGAAAGGATCTCGCATTGCCCAGGAGCCTGCGGGGGCTTCTTGGAGGTGTCTTGAGGACGGCCCAGGGCGGCTTGGGGGCCTCGTGAGAGTCTTCGGGGGCCCCGGTCGCCCCATGCCCTGCGGAGGTCCATGGGCGCGGCCAGGGGTCCTCTGGCGGCCTGTTTTGTCGCTCTTGGAAGCCTCGTGGGGGCCTCTTGGGGCCTTTTGGGGCGGAACGCTCCGAAATCGTGGTCCTGTTCCCTCACTTGGGCCCCTCGGGACTGCTTTGCGGCCCTTGGGCCGTCCTGGGCGTCTCTGCAGCCGTGTCGAAACTGTCTGGGGCCTTCTTGGGGACCTCTTGCGGAGCCTCTCGAGCAGCCGCTGGGTGGTGTCGGGGCCCCTTGGGCTGTCTTGGGGCGTGGTAAACAAGAATAGGCGAGAAACCAGAAAACATCAAACACCCACAGGAAGTTACACTGTCTTTGCCTCGGGGCGCCCTCGTGGGACTCCTCTTGAAGCGCTCTTGGGGCCTCTGGGGGGCCTCTTGGGCCCACCTTGGGCCTACCTTGGGCGTCTTCGAGCGCCCTTGGGGCAATCAGTGCGTGGGTCTGGAGCCTCCTGTGCTGCCAAGAATACCTCGTCGAGCTGTCTGGTAGGGAAGAGGGGGCCCTGAGCCAGGGCCCCGGGCCCTCTTCCCCCGGGATTCACAAACAATTATATATACACATATGTACACATGTGCTCGTGCTTACATATAAACTAGAGCACAACACACTACACATGTACATACATAAACGTGCGCATACACATAAACAATCACATATACTTGCACGTAAACATAACCTATACATACTAGCATACATACGCATGTGTTTAGCTTAGGCCGGCACTTCCTCAACGAAACATATACAGTTACGTGTATACATCTGCATACACACATACGTATATAGATGAAGAAATCGAGAGAGAGGGGGGGAAACACCAAAACCATATACCGATATGCAAAGATAGGAAGGGAGAGCGTCGGATTCCAAGAGTGTGCAGCTGGCGCCTGCACGTGACAGCACGGTGGCGGATCTCCGGCGCTGCCCGCGGCGGGGCTCTGCTTTCAGGCCATCGTTTCGCCCTCCTCGGGCTCCTCGAACGCGACGTGCACAGCACGCGCCACGTCGAAGGAGAGCATCTGCCGGTCGGTGAGCTGGCTGATGCTGACCGTGTTCAACCAACCGACGAATATGCCTGCGTATATCGCGGACGCCACGGTCGCGACCCTGTTCTCCCGGACAGCGGCGTGGAATTGCCCCACGCTGATCGTAACACAAGTGCACAAACCGTGCGCCGTGGCCTGACCAGGATGGGCCCAAGTTTGCGCCCAAAGGGCGGCTTCGGCTAGCCATTCACCTTCTGTCACCTCTGTCGGTTTTACTTCGATCTGCGACCTCGACTTGGAAAAGCCACCTGCACGACGGTTTGTCAGGTCGTACATCAACAAGCCGCCATGCAGGAAGTACATCTTCGAGCACACATCGTCACGATTGAATAGCACGTCGCCGCCATACAACGACGATTGCCCAGCAGCCAGGTGACAGATCCGCTGCATGGAGTGGGCGAAGTTAGTGTCGTATTCCCTCAGGAACGGGTGGTGGCGCACCTTTGGCATAAATGTCTCGTAGTGTAGCTCGATGCGGAGAGATGCCGACATATGCGACAGCAACTTGATGTCTGTCTCTTTGATATCCTTCCTTTTTTCCGCGAGGTACGCGTCTAGGTGCCCGCGGATTCGGACGCAGAGGCTGGTTGATAACCCATGCTTCCGAAAATAAGACTGGAGCAAGACGAACTGCTTGGTGTTCTCGAAATCGAGGGCCCTAAGATAATTCATGGTGTTCGTAATCCGGCTCACGAACGAAGAGAACAGTACCATGCCCATGATGATCGCAATGATGTTGAAGACTCGCTCCGACACGTTCTTAGGCGTGATCTCCATGGAAGCAGGCGTGAACTGCGTCAACGACCAATTCGCCAGCCCAACGGGCCGAATGCGTGATAGAACCTCGGGTCGAGGAGGAGGAGGCGGCGGCGGAGGAGGAGCAGCTTGACACCCATCGTGTGCTGCTGCTTCGCGGTCGGGACTCCTCGGCGCGCGGGCGTCCGGACCCCGCACTGCCACGCCACGGTCGCTCCACGAGAGCTGCAAGGCCGTCGGGACTCCCAAAAAGGAGCTCCGAAACGGCCTCGGGACGGCCCAAACGAGCCCCCAAAGACGGCACTAACACGCCAAACGAACAAATGCATCCGCCTGGAAGTTTTGCCCCCTCGAGAGCCCGAAGGCACGACATCGAAGCGGTGGATGTGGACATAGTCTGGCGGCAGACGAAGACGGCCCAACATGCCCCCGAGATCGTGCAGGACGCCCCGAGAGGGCTCCCAACAGAGTCCCAAGACAGACCAAGAGTGTCCCAAAGACGGCCTAAGATCGAGACGCCTCAAAGAGGATCCCAAGAGGCTGTCTAGAAACCCTCAGGAAAAAAAACCTGCGTCCCAAAAGCAACACATCAATCCTTCAGGATGCTCCGACATCCCACGAAGCGGTTTGAAGCAAGTGCCTTCTCGTGTTTTCGGGCGTCGATGCCGACGCGCGGCTGGCAAAATGTCCACCTGAGTGTTGCACCCGATATAGCCAGCGACTGCTACTCCCCCACGCGACCTGAACACGACAGCTTGCGGAAACTACGGCCATCCAGCAACTTCCCACTGGCCCCGAGCAAGCAACCACATGCCAATGATGATACAACATGGGCAGGCGGAACGCGCGAAGCGGATGTATGCAAGCTAGTTAGATACAAGTACCCAGTGGACGCATCAGGTGGCATGTTTATGGCGACCCACCCGTCCGCGGAGTCTATGTCAAGTGTGGCCAAGCCATACCACGCGCACGCAATCATATGATTTGTCATGATGATGAAAACCAGCATCTGCCCTATGCCTCCGAACGCGTTCACATGCTCAGACCGAACGTTATCTTGCAATCTGTTCAAAAATGGTGGCAATCTGACCATCCGAGCCATGCGCAAGCTCTTGAGCACCCGGAAGGTGCGCAAGGTCCGAAGCATGCCAGTGGGAGACTCCCCATTTTCCACAAGAAGCAATACTACATCGAACGTTATGAGAGTCACGTCAAAGAAGAACCAACTCGTTATGTAACGTCTGGCGATCTGTTTTAGGTTCATCACAAGTGTGCCCGCGCGGTGGAACCCAGTCACAAAATTCAATGGAATGTCAGTGAACCAGAAAACGATCATAATGAGCGTGACGACTTTCAACCCCTCCGACTCAGATGTCGAGATGAAGAACTGCAGCGGGATGAAGATGGCGTCGCACAAAATGCTTACAGCCCCAATCATGTCCCAAGTGATACGGAACGCACCGTTTGGGTGTATCACCCTGGGCGGCCACCATCTCGCCCGTGCGCTTGCCAAGCCTTGCTCTGGCAGGTGAACGATTGCCTCACCCGATGTCCCATGTTCGGGATCGTTGGCGAGACACTTGCGCCAGCCCGCTGTCCCGCCCTTCCCGTCCTTAGAGGCCTCCTAAATAGGTCGGAGTAGACTGGGTCGGCGGATCGCTCCGCATCGCCGATACATCGACAATGCAACAGCAATGCATCGGCGATGCACCGGCGATGCATCGTCGACGTCGGCGATGCATTGGCGACGTCGGCGTGGAGAAAATCGGGCTCCGCATCGAGCCGCATCGGCCATGCATGGGCGATGCGGCGCGATCCTCCGACCCCACCTACTCCGACCCCATCTATGAAGGGGAACTGGGACACACAAATAACGACAAACAAATAAACATATCCCCCATATTTTCCCATATTTTCTGGGTTTTTGTTTTCCCCACCACTTCCCATATTTTCCCATATTTTCTGGGAATCGCCGAGTAATTGTGTCTGTGTGTTTTTTCCCCTCTTGAATCTAGGAGGCCTAGAGTCCTGGAACTGCTTGATCCTGCCCCTGACCTCGTCGTCCTCGATCTGCCACGAGGCGTGGGCCAGCAGGCCCTCCCGCCGGCCCGCGGCCTTCGCGCCGGCCTTGGGGTCGCCGCAGCCCGCCTCCTGCGCCGCGGGGGCCTCGCCGACGCTCGCGCGTGGGGCGCGCTCCTCCAACGGGGGCGGCCGCGCAGGCGGTGGGGCCGGGGCGGGCCGGGGGGGCGAGGGGGCAGCACCCGGGGAGGGACCCCAGCTCAAGGGGGGGAAGACCTCGAGCTGCAATCGGGGAGGGGCTCAAGGGACCCCAGGAAGACCTCGAGCTGGAATCGGGGAGGGACCAGCTCGGGGGAGGGAGGGACCCCAGCTCGGGGGGGGGGGGGGGGGGGAGACCTCGAGAGCTGGACTCGGCGATACCTCGCCGAGAGGGATCGGCGACAGGCCCCCGACGGCAAAGGCACACGGTCCTGAGCGGGGTGGGGCGATGGGGCAGCCCCAGGGAGGGACCAGCGCCAGGGGGGGAGACCTCGAGCGCTGGAACCGGCGACACCCTCGCCGAGGGGGATCGGCAACGGGCCCCCGACGGCAAAAAGCCACGCGGTCCCGAGCGGGGTGGGCTTCCGGGGCCCCAAGCAGCGATCCGCGGGCGCTTGGCGGTCGATACGTCACCGCCGGAGCCCATCCCCCCCTTTAACGTTGCCCTTGCTGGGGCACATCCAGCGACTCGCGGTCGGGACGGCTGGGCCGCGGCCCCGTGGATGCGGTGTATCTAGGCGGCCCAGCTTGCCATAATAATGGAAAGCTGGAACGCGCGTATAGAGAATCCCCTTGCCCCAACACCCGGGACTCACGTCACGAAAAAGTGCAACGTCGGCAGAAAAGGGACGCATCGATGACTGATCGCTCAGAAAGAGCCAGTGCGTGTGCGAACCGAAGTGGGCTCGCGTGAGCGGGCAGCCCTCACTCTGACGATTGGAAGTGTCTGCGGGGGATCGCCTGAAACAAAAGTTCAGCGACCGGTCGCAGGCCACCACCGGAAGTCTCCACCACTTCCCCAGGGGGCCCGCCCTCCGTCGCGGAAGTTGACGAAGACGGAAACGCCATGAGCATCGACTCTCCACGGTCCGCGCGGACTTCGTGGGTCTGCGCTGGAAGCCCCCGGCGGCGACTCCGGCGCCGCTTTGGCGCGCTGCGCGCGCCCAAGGGTGAGGTGTAGCGCAGATCCCAGAAGGCCGCGCGGACTGTCGAAAGTTTGTGTGCATGCCGTGGTCGTTTCCTCCAGGAAAGGCTTCTGATGGGCGCCCGAGGCTCGAAGATGACCCTGCGTAGACCGAGGTTTCGGAAGAACGCCAGGATGAGCACAGGCAACCAGCCGAAGTCCAGGCGATCGTCATCTCGCAGCGTCAAACACGATCGACCCACGAACCCGGAAAGGAATATAGAAATGTAAGGCATTGCAATATTTCAAAGACACCTGATTGGGCGACGGGCATACGCAATGCTGAATGTATCGATGATGATGTACTGTGCCGAGGGCTGTGCTGTGCTACGCCGTGCTGAACTGCGATGTGCCATGCCGCGATTGTGCTGTATATATCGTTGTGGATCGAGTCCTCCCTGGCATCCGAGTCCTCACCGAACTGATCTGGAGCGTAAGCTCGAGCTGCCTCAGCAGATGGTAGCTGCCCCAGAACTAATCGACAGAGGGAACATGCCAGGAGGACGCGCCGCGGACGTCCCAAGGGACGCGCCAGGCGACGTGCCAGGGGACGTGCCATGGGCACGCACCGCGGGACGTGCCAAGGGGACGCGCTACGGAACGTGCCAATGGACGTGCCGAGGGACGTGCCAGGGGACGCGCCGCGCGACGTGCCAGGTGGACTCGGCACGGAACGCGCCAAGGAACGTGCCAAGGTGCATAGTTGAGTGTATCGATCTTGATGTACCGTGCCAACGGCTGTGCTGTGCTGTGCCGTGCTGAACTGCGATGTGCCATGCCACGATTGTGCTCTATATAGCGTTGTGGATCGAGTCCTCCCTGGCATCCGAGTCCTCACCGAACTGATCTGGAGCGTAAGCTCAAGCTGCCTCAGCAGATGGTAGCTGCCCCAGAACTAATCGACAGAGGGAACATGCCAGGAGGACGCGCCGCGGAACGTCCCAAGGGACGCGCCAGGCGACGTGCCAGGGGACGTGCCATGGGCACGCACCGCGGGACGTGCCAAGGGGACGCGCGACGGAACGTGCCAATGGACGTGCACCGCGCGACGTGCCAGGGGGACTCGCCACGGGACGCTCAGCGGAACGTGCCAGGCAACATGCCAGGCTGCAATGCTAAAGGTATCGATATTGATGTACCGTGCCGAGGGCTGTGCTGTGCCTGGGCGACCTGGACACGTGAAAACACGCGGTTCGCTCAAGACGTTGTCAACACATCCTCATGCTAGACATCCGCCTGGGCAACCTGGACACGTGCAAACAAGCGTCTCGCTCGAGACATCCTCAACAAATGCTCATGCTAGACATCCGCCTGGGCGACCTGGACACGTGAAAACAAGCCTCTGGTTCGCGACATCCTCAACAAATCCTCATGCTAGACATCTGTCTGGGCCACCTGGAGGCGTGAAACCAAGCGTCTCGCTCGAGACATCCTCAAGACCTGGGCACGTGACAAAAAAAGCGTCTCGCTCGAGACATCCTCAACAAATGCTCATGCTAGACATCCGCCTGGGCGACCTGGACACGTGAAAACAAGCCTCTGGTTCGAGACATCCTCAACAGACCCTCATGCTAGACATCTGTCTGGGCAACCTGGAGGCGTGAAACCAAGCGTCTCGCTCGAGACATGATCAAGACCTGGGCACGTGAAAAAAAGCGTCTCGCTCGAGATATCCTCAACAAATGCTCATGCTAGACATCCGCCTGGGCGACCTGGACACGTGAAAACAAGCCTCTGGTTCGAGACATCCTCAACAGATCCTCATGCTAGACATCTGTCTGGGCCACCTGGAGGCGTGAAACCAAGCGTCTCGCTCGAGACATCCTCAAGACCTGGGCACGTGAAAAAAAGCGTCTCGCTCGAGACATCCTCAACAAATGCTCATGCTAGACATCCGCCTGGGCGACCCGGACACGTGAAAACAAGCCTCGGGTTCGAGACATCCTCAACAAATCCTCATGCTAGACATCTGTCTGGGCCACCTGGAGGCGTGAAACCAAGCGTCTCGCTCGAGACATCCTCAAGACCTGGGCACGTGAAAACAAGCAATCCACTTGAGAGATCCTCAGAATTCAGGTCCCCAGGAAAGGACAATCGATAACACAAAACAAGCGTCTCGCTCGAGACATCCTCAACATATTCTGACAAACAAGCGTTTCGCTCGAGACATCCTGAATGTTTAATTCGCCGGCCCCCTTCCCACTCGTTGTTTATCGCAACAAAAAAATCAGCCGGCCCTCTTCCCGTCAAAACCGGGGGTAAACCTACTAAAAGAGAACCCTGGGCCCACGCCCTTTCAGGGAACATGATGGACCCACGAACCCGGAAAGGGATATAGACATGTGGAGCACGGTCACGTTTTCACGATACCCAACTGGGCGACACCTCAAGAAACATCCCACGAGACACCCCGCGAAACATCCCACGAGACACCTCACGAAACATTCCACGAGACACCTCACGAAACATTCCACGCGACACCCCGCGAAACATTCCACGAGACACCCCACGAACAGGCAACCACTCAACCAAAGCACATCGCGGACGAGGACGACGACGGCATTCCACGAGACACCCCACGAAACATTCCACGGGAGTGCGACTGGGTGTGGTCGTGCTGTGGTGTGGTCGTGCTGGGGTGTGGTCGTGCTGAGGAGTGGTCGTGCTGGGGTGTGGTCGTGCTGGGGTGTGGTCGTGCTGGGGGGTGGTCGTGCTGGGGGGTGGTCGTGCTGATGGGGTGGCCGTGCTGGGGGGTGGTCGTGCTGGGGCGTGGTCGTGCTGGGGCGTGGTCGTGCTGGGGTGTGGTCGTGCTGTGGTGAGGTCGCGCTGTGGTGAGGTCGTGCTGGGGTGTGGTCGTGCTGGGGTGTGGTCTTGCTGGGGTGGGGTCGTGCTTGGGTGGGGTCGCGCTGTGGTGAGGTCGTGCTGGGGTGTGGTCGTGCTGGGGTGGGCTCGTGCTGGGGCGGGGTCGTGCTGGGGAGTGGTCGTGCTGGGGCGTGGTCGTGCTGGGGTGTGGTCGTGCTTGGGTGGGGTCGTGCTGGGGTGTGGTCGTGCTGGGGTGTGGTCGTGCTGGGGTGGGCTCGTGCTGGGGTGGGGTCGTGCTGGGGTGTGGTCGTGCTGGGGTGTGGTCGTGCTGGGGTGTGGTCGTGCTGGGGCGTGGTCGTGCTGGGGTGGGGTCGTGCTGGGGCGGGGTCGTGCTGGGGTGTGGTCGTGCTGGGGCATGGTCGTGCTGGGGTGTGGTCGTGCTGAGGCGGCCCGCACCCTGTGATTTATCGATCGGGATTTCAAAAACAAGCGTTTCGCCTGAGACATCCTCAAATTTTAATCCGCCGGCCTCCTTCGACCTCGATATTTATCAGGGAAAGAATCCGCCGGCCTCCTTCAAGTTGGGCACGGGGGACTATGTTTACATACTAAAAGAGAACCCTTGGCCTATGCCCTTTCCGGGAAAAATGGCAATAAAAACAATCTGGGGGACAGCTCATGTCTAAAAACTGTATTGTTTCGGGAGACAATTTAAAACATGGTTTTCCCCAGCGCTGTTGTGCGCCTATGGAAAACAAAAGGGAAGGGGGGCAAACTGGATCTGGAAACGTCCCCGCGACCACCCTGGCGACCTGCGTGCAGGGTCTGATTCCTGCGCACCCCCTCTTGGCGTCAGGCCACGCCTGCCACGCCCTGCGACCCCATCGTGGATAGAGACTGCGCTCAGGGACCACTCCCTGCGCACCGCGCACCCTGCCTGAGTTGCGAAGCGGCACTGGATACACAAATGCGGCGCGCCGCTGATAGATTTAATACAACGGGGACGACGTTTAACTCCAAACCCCAGTGGCGAAAACCCACTGTAAAAATTCAATATCTGATCGGACGACGGGAACATCCCAATGTGGATATACGACACGGAATGCAAAAATGCCAAGCGCCAGTGCGCGCGCGCACGCGCGCGCACGGCGGC